GGGAATTATGGATGATGAAACTGAGGCACAGAGAGGTTAAGTGACTCGCCCAAGATTTCACAGCAGCAGGTACTATCTGCTTTCAAAACTTACACTCTTAACCAGCTCATGAATCTGCAGGAATGGTGTGTCCCCAGTCGATGATTAGCGGATTGTTGATACAGCTGGGCTTCAGTTTGTCTATCTCTGTAGTGGACGTGACATAGGTGGTTTATAAACTTGACCTGGGCATTTGTTAAAAACTTACAGGTGGAGGCCCTCACCCCAGAAGCTACTTTCACAAGCTGTGGTTATAGTTTTGGCATGGATAAATCAGAAACCACCAGCCCCAGAGATCTCAACCTTTTGCTCTCTGTCTCTGTGGAAACACTTGCTCATTCAGCCCCCTTCTCCCCAGCCAGGCAGTTCTGGACTCACCTTCACAACTTTGGACACCCGAACAGGGTCGGGGGCCCATCGGAAACACCTCTCCTTCACGAAACTGCAGATGATGTGGATGGCTTCATTGACCTGCGTGCGGAAATCCTTGTCTGGCAGGTGGCGGTCTTCGATGAACTTGTCCAGTTGGTTGGCTCGGGTCTTTCTAAACTTCTTCATGATGCTCAGGCAGGGACAGGAGAGCCAGAGGCAGCAGAGTTGGCTGCCAAAACCTGTTAGCTTCTACCTCTTCCGCTGCCTGGGTCTAGGAGGCTGTTAGTTTAATTTTCTCGAAAGGGTAGAGCTGTGCCCTGAGTCTGGACTGTCACTGGTTTCCTTTCTTTGAAAGGGAGGAGCCATAACCTTGTTCTTTGCCTTTAAGAAATCAACAACCCCTTCGACCCTGTGTCTCCCAGCTCTTTCCCCTGCTCTCTGAGACTTACTCTGCCTTTATCCAGCCCCCTAGAACATCAGGCCTTTCTTCAGACTGTTCTGAAAATGTTGCTTTTCAACCCAGCTTAGTACCTCACCCAAGAGAAGTCATAAGTAAAAACTTTTGGGGGGGTTTCCTTTGTCTTTTTTTGTTACCTACAAAATTGGTTTATGGTCTCCTATGATCTTTACAGCAGTACCTGCATATTATAAAAAGAAACATGTCAGAAAAATCAGGGAGCATAAAGACCATCCAGGATCCTAAACTTTGAAGACTACATCTATAAACATTTTGGTGGAGATCTTTCCAGATATTTTTTTCTAGGCTAACGCACACACACATACACACAAACTCTAACCATGTGTCTATTTTTTGTTAAACGACATTGTCCTATACTTTTCCCCCTTTTGATTAATAGACTTTATTTCCTAAAGAAGTTTTGGGTTTAAAAAATAATTGAAGTACAGAGTTCACTTATGTCCTCTCTCCTTCCACCCATAGTTTCCCCTGTTAGCAAATTTGGTGTGGTACATTTGTTGCAAGATGAATTGATGTTGACATGTTATTATTAAATAAAGTTCAAAGTTTACTTTAGGGTTCACACTACGTTGTACATTTTGTGGGTTTGCCAATCATAATGTGTTGTCTCCACCAATTATGAAATCATTGCAGAATAGTCTCACCTGTTGCTCCACGAGCTCTGAGATTAGATGTTTCTTCTCTTCTAATATATGCATTCAGTGCTAAAAATTCTCCTCTAAGCACTGCTTTCACTGTGTCTCTAAATTTTATTTTATTTTTTCTTTTCCTTGAGTGTAAAATATTTTTTCAATGTCTCTTGAGACTTTTCGACCCATGTGTGTGTTAGAAGTGTGTTATTTAATCTCCAAAGACGTTGGAATTTTCCAGATCTTTCTTTTCTTGATTTCTTGTTTAATTCCATTGTGGTAAAGAGCATACCTTGTATGCTATCTATGCTTTTGAATCTGTTAAGGTGCGTTCTATGGCCCAGATGGTAGTCTATCTCGGTGAATATCCCATGTGAGCTTGAAAAGAATGTGTATTCTGCTGTTGTTGGGTGAAGCAGTCAGTGCCAATTAGCTATCTTTTTGAATCACCCTTGTCTTAACCAGCTCATCAATTAATTGACACTCCCCACTCCTTCTGTATAACATATTGAATTAATGCCTAAGGCATGTGGAACCATGAAGGGGATGGGCATTCATCTATGTGACACTCTATACATACAGTTGGAATGTATGTTTATCAAAGATTCTGTTTGCTCCCAAATGCTTTTTGGGCAATCGTACTTGTTAATGAAATATATACTTTTGACAAAATATATGTAAACAAATCCGACATGAGTGCGAAAGCCATCTGTCCTTAGAAAACCAGCACTGAATTCTTTGTAAAGATGTAATAAAGCCTAGTACCATAAAACAGTGCAGAGAATTAGGTATGAGTGAGACAACTCTAAAAGAACTGAGGGCATAATTGGAAAAATCCAGAATTAGGCCCTCATGTCTTTGCAGGTGACTTTACGTTCTTGTTTTCTTTAAAGAAACAGGAACAGGAAATTATAGATTGCTCATTCTTGTGTGTTTTATGCAAAACACATAATGCAGGACTGCAGTCAGGGGATCTGCCCTCAAAGAGGTCTAGGTCTTCTTTGAATGACTGGGAAATGAAGGCATTATTAGTGGGCCCGGGGGACCACAAACGATGTCCTGCCTATACAGTTGAAGACCCACAGGAGGAAGGGACTTGCTCAAGCTCACATATCGTCCCCATTTTCCAGATGAGGAAACCGAGACTCAGAGAGGTTAGGTTCCACAGCTAGTAAGTGACAGTCAGGATCTGAATGTTGCACTGAATGGATTAAAAAGCTGGTGTGCTTTTCTGGTCAGGTGATTTCTACCACACCACATTGCCTCTTACACTATGTTTGGTTTCAGTGGGGAAAAAAAGAAAATTAGTCAAGTTAGGTGTACTGATATTTATGAAAACTTTCCTCATGTGTATTCATCTCAGCCTGTTAAGCATGTCCCACGCCGAGGGAAGGAGATCTACCATTTCAGAGGTGGAAATTAGGCTTCTTCTCAGCTGCCTATGACTGACTGGCGGTGGCTGCCAGGGGTAGACTGCTGTGTTGAGAAGAATGCAGATGCTGCTAGTGGGTTCTGTGGGAAAAATGCCATATTAATTAGTGATCCACCATGAGCACAGGGAAAGAGCGCAGCAAGTAGGGTTTCCTGCCATTCCGAAAGGGCTGTGTGGCCCTAGCTGGCACCCCTCTCCACTTAGTGGCAGCTGACTGAATCGTAGGTAAAATGATGGACTTTTAGGGCAGTGGTTTGCAAAGTCACGATAGAGGTGGGAAGCCCAAGCCATCAACCAGGAAATATTTTCAAATATACCTCTGGTCCCCGGGGTGTAGCAGAATCTGCAGGAAGGGGCGATGGTGGCAGGGAGAGCATGGGTAGTTTGAAAAATATATCTCCCCAGGTGATTCTAATATGCCAACTTCTGCCCCCAACAGTGAGAACCACCCTTCTGGGAGTGAGAAAAGGAAATTGCCTCAAACTTGGCATGGAAGAGAAATTTCCGTTGGATGGAATTGTCAGCTCCTTCTGAGAAGCAACCAATCTTCCTGATGAGTTGCTTAAGCTCTTTTGATGTAAGCTGAAAATCTCACTTGTAGTGAGTTTAAAAATCCTTCTGGAAAGTTAGTTACTCACTAGGCTCACTTTCAGGACTGTTGAGAATCTCAAGTAAGGGGTCATTTCTGAAAAGGCTCATCGCAGGATGGAAAGTGTTTCAATATAAAAGAGGTGTTTGGTGATCTGCCTTCTTATCATCAGTGCGTTAAGAGCATTGCACAGGGGATCCAACGATCTAGCTCCTTTCCTGGCACTGCAGCCATGAGATGTTGGATGTGCCCATTCCCTTCTCTGGGCTTTGGGTTATTCATCTGTCAGATAAGTGAGCTGACTGAACCAGGCTCTGGCTCAACTCTGTGGTCTCTTTCAGCCTTGAAATTATCTCATTCCATGACCACTAGGGAGTTTTCCCCAAGGTTGGGTTAGTCGGGAAAAGATGAGGATGCTGCCTTCTTATTGGGTGGACACCAGCAAAAAGCATTCTTCCAGGAGGGCGTGAGGTCAGTCAAGTTGGCTGGAGCCCACCTTTCCAAGATGATATCCAACAGAAAGCAAACTTCATGGGGGCAGGGACCGCATCTGCCTTGTTTACTGCTGTATCCCCAGTGGCTGGAACATGGTAGATGCTCATTAACTACTGACTATCCAGGTACGTCATGTGTGTTGGTGGGGAGAAAAAGCTTCCAGAAATCAGAGAGGAAAAACCCAGGCCATCAGTTTTCCTGGATATTCCTACTTTATTTTTGGCTACATCATCACAAAGAAAGGCGATGGGTGGTTCTGCATGCACCAGAGGGCGTGTGTGTGTATGTGTGTAGTGTGTGTGTGTGTGTGTGTGTGTGTGTGTATGTGTGTAGTGTGTGTGTGTGTGTGTGTGTGTGTGTGTGTGTGTGTGTGTGTGTGTTCTAGCAGGAAGGTGCTTACATTTACCAGGGAGGGGGCGCGCCTGGACAGAGGCACTGTGAGCTAGCCGCATGCTGAGTCCAGCACCAATGCCAGCGTTAGGCCTGGGAGACACAGCCAGCATGCTTTCTCCTAAGGGCAAACCATGAACAGGAGGCGGGCTGAGAGTGGGCACTCCAAGGGGGCCACTGGAGAGAGAGGGTCAGGAGGGAAGATGGCAGCCAGGAAGCTGCTGGCCATCGTGGAGAAGGCGAAATACCTGGGGTCTAGAAAATGGTTATTCAAGGCAAGAAACCAATGACTTCCAATGACTTGTCAAGGGAGCTAGGGGTGGAGGGCCCAGAAATGGAAGGTTAAAAGATGTGTGTTTGGAGAAAGTGAGAGTTTTAGTGTCCCTCTGGCTACTTCTATAGATAATGGTGGGGTACTGGAGGGGGGGGCAATTTTCATGAAGGAAGACTGACTGGAAATTGGGAAAAATCAAACCTTTCTCACAGGGCACTGAAGATGACCTAACCGTGAACCTTATAATGTTTGTCCTCGTTGCCTTTTCCTCCTTTGAAAAAAAAATTTTTTTTCTTAATTTTTAGGAAGAAAGACTGAACAATTCATGATGGAACAAAAGCCTTTGGTGTCAGGATCTGTCACTCTCTAAAGTTTTATGTCCATGATGGTGTTTTGTTCTCCTGACACAATGAAGAGGGTGCAAGAGATAGAGAGACAGAGAGACCAGAGGCGATTCTGAGTGAGAGACAGGATGCAAGAGAGAGAGAGAGAGAGAGGGAGAGAGAGAGAGAGAGAGAGAGAGAGAGAGAGAGAGAGAGAGAGAG